GGATGAGAAGGAAGGCGAGTGTCTCTTCTATCATCTCCCGTCCCAATAATGGCTTTATTGCCTGGCTGATAGGAACCGGCGAGATACGTTATCAGGCCTTGGTTTGCAACTGGGATCAGTCCTGTGACTGAAATTAAACCTCCTTTTTTATTGCCGGGCCGTGCAGGTGGCTGCCCAACTGCCAGGGGCTGCAGCGGGGGGGGGGGCGCGCGGGCCTATCTCGCCCGCAGCCCTTGAAAGCAGCGCGGCACTGAATCAGCAGGCAGTGGGAACAAAGGGAACTTTGAGAGTCCAGCATGGGGCGGCTGCTGCGCCGTGTTTGATCCCTGCTTATCTCCTCTCCGCTGGCTTTATTGTCCCCCCAGGGTTCAGCTTTTACTGCTTCTCCCAGCACCACAGTGGCAATCAAACCCAGAGGTTTGCAGCTGGGAGTAAAGTGCCGGAGCAGCGTGAGGGGGGCATTAACGGGAAAGGTCTTTGGCACATCCCCGCCGCCACATCTCAGGGGGCAAGACGCAGCATCGTGGCCACAGAGACATGCCCTGCTTGGCAAGGGTCGCTTCAGCTCACCCGCTTTGCAGGGCATGGGGCATCATCCATGTTATCTCCCCCAGATTCCAGCTTTGATCCCGACCTGCCCATCTCCCGAGGTGTCCAACAAGCCCTTCACAAACACAGCGGTGACGCATGAGGCAGGAATTTATGAAGGGGGCATTAACTGATCACGATCCGGGTTTGATCCCAAGTACCTGGATGCTGGGTGGGACGGGTCAAAGAGGCAGAGCCTAACTGGGCTGGGGCTCTGCAAACTCCTCGTGGGCGCAGGGATGGACACGACCCCTCCTGCACCTGCAGCCCCACAGTGCCAGGAGAGACAGCCCATGGGACCCAGCTTGCAGCCACTGGCCGGGTAAACTAGGGACCGAATAGAGGCACGCTGTGCCGATGGCTCTGACACACACGGTGCGTTATTTTGCACACAAAACATATTCAAGGCTAAAACCAAATGAGAGGCTCAAAGGATTGCCGGGACAAATACGAATGTCAGATGAAAGATGGCTCAGCTCTGCAGAGCTCGGCTGCCGTCTGGGCTCTGACTGGCCATGAATGGTCTGGCTGTACAAATCCTCAGTGGAGACATGAGACCAAATGGACCCAGGAAGGCTCCCCTCGGCTAAGGAAAGGAGGTGCCAAGGGGACCAGCATCTGCAGCAATGGGGCAGCCCTAGCTAACACCCCTTGCAGCTCCTCGGGGGTGAAGACCAGAGACACATCAAAAAGAACTGGAGGGGAAATTTATTCATCTGACGTTGACACGGAGCACAAGACAAAGCATCCCCAGGCAGCATCTGGCAGCTCAAGGGCTCCAGCACCCAGCAACCCCTCTTTGTTGCCAGAGACGGGAGGGTGCACTGGGGCACCCGGTGCCTCAGTCCCTCCCTGAAGCAGGGGCTGCTCTGCACGGGCTGGCTGTATCAGGTCGGGGAAGGGTCCCTCTTTCTGGCCATGGTCTGTAGAGGATGCTG